TCTCCTTTTGTGACTGACTGATTTCACTCAGCATAATGTCCTCAAGGTTAATCCATGTTATGCGATGAAACCATATTCTTTTGACCAAAGGGTTAACAATTACTTTAAAACAAAGGTGAGAATGTAATGGGGTAGAGAAGCTAGATGAATGGAAATGGAACAGTCAGAACAGAATTACTGAGAAGGCTCATGCACTGTGAATACTATAACCAATGGCAGTGAACAATTTGTGTAGAAATCATTATATGGGAACACAAGCTGTGGTGTAAACCTTCACTGAAAATACAACGAAATATTATTTAAAAAAAAAAATATATATATATATATATGTATATCCCTTTGGCATCTCAAGATGATTCCTTGGCTGAGCTGTTGGCTACCAACAAAATGCTGCCTGGTCTGGTGTCATCCCCGTAATTGGTTGCAGATTAGACCATTGTGAATCATAAGGTTTTTCGATGCTTAACAAAGCCATCTTCTGTTAGTTGAGTGAGTAGCAACTCTTAACAACCCCACGTGTACAGGGTAGAACCGCACTCCGGAGGATTTTTAAGGCCTTTCTTTGAGTGGATGCGTATGAACCCAGTGCTTAATCTTTATGCCTCCGGAGGGAGTCTTAATTTACAGGGTTTTCATTAGCTGATTTTTGGAAGCAGATCACCAGGCCTTTCTTCCTAGTTGTCCTAGTCTAGACACTCCCCTGAAAGCTGTTCAGTACCATTGTTGTTTTTAAGTGACGTTGACTCAGTTTTGACTCATGGCGACCCTGTATAGAGTTTCCACACACAAGCCTCTACTAATGAATTCTAGATTTCCTGTATCGAAGGTAAGACTTCTACCACTGACCACAACTGCCCCCACCTCCATTTCTTAAAAACCATAAACCAAACCCATTACCATCCAGAGGATACCAACTCATAGTGAGCCTACACGACAGAGTGCTGGTGTCTCATGTGCTTTCCACATCTTCCTCCCACGGGGTTTGGTTAGCGGTTGAGTGCTTTACCCATGGCACCACCAGGACACCTTAGTCTAGGCGCAGTCTATACCCACACCCTGAGTTACAGCTTGTACAACTCCACCCCAAGGCTGAGCTCTCTCTTCTGGAACTAATTGGCCTTCCGCTGCTTTCTACCCCTTGGCCTGTCTCTGACTTCAGATCAGGCAAGCCGACCCTATTGTGGAGCACTTGCACCTTCCTGGGCACCATCCCCTCTCACAGCCCACCTTGGGTTCCTTCCTACTTGCTTGGCTTTGTAACATGATTGGAGTGGGAGCCCAAAGACCAGCCTCTGCCACAATTTAGTGGGTGATGTAATCAAGTCACCCGTCTTTATGCCACATACGAATATGCCAGCCAGTGGTCGGAAAGGGAGGTTCTTCCAGCTCTGACACACTATGATGTTCTGGCCCACTCCACTGCCCACCCAGTAAGCAAGCTGTGAGGCACATTGTATTTTCCCCACCCATCTCAGCAAGGTCCTCTCTTCACCTGCCTTCGGCCCTGTTTCTTTGTAAATGCCTCCCAGGAGCTTGCTCATAGCTGGCTCCGCTCAAGTGCCACCTGACTACCATTACAGGGTGTCCACAGCTCTGTGCCTGCTGTCCATGTCCCTTCACGGCATTCTGGGGAGGGGGCAGCTATCATTCCTGCCTCACATATAGGGAAATGTGAAGCTCAGAGAGGTGAAGTGATTTGCTTAAGTTAGAGGCATTTTGACCAGGGCTGCTGGAAGATCCAGAAACCTTCCAGGACTGAAGGAAATGAAAACAGTATTACCCAGTCCGATACTGGAGTGGGGGAGCAGGGCAAAACTGCGGAGCACCTCAAAGCCTACCAGGTCTTAATGTTCATTCCAGTGACAGGCCACAATAGCTCCCAGCTCCATCACACACGCACCTCCCTCCCAAACCCTGCTCTTTTAAAGAAACCCTAGCTCCCAGGGATTCTGAATGAGATGGATCGGTCATGGGGGCCCAGAGGTACCAGAAGGGTAGCAAGTGAGTCCAGATGTTGAGAGTCTCATTGGTCATCTGGAAAAGGCTGAGGAGGCAGGCAGTGGCCGAACTCTGTGGGTGCCGGTAGCCAAAGAGGATGCCCTGCTCATGGAACACCTGCATGGAGAAGAACAGGGGTGCTGACGTGAGGTCAGGGGAGTCATGGAGGTCTCAGCAAGAACCACTTGGCTGGACCTCTGGTGTTCTCCCAGACTGTGCACTGGGAACTTTGATCCTAAGTTCCAGGCCCACTGGCCTGCTCTCCTTCCTCCCCTCTGTTTCCTTCCCTCCCTGCTCTCCCTTCTTCCTTCTCTCCGTCTCATCCTCTCTTTCCTTCCTTCCCTCCAGTGGCTTCTAAAGTCCCTTGTTCTCCAAGAAGCCTCCAGCAAGCAGGAGAGAACTGAAGGTACAGGCTTCCTCCTGGAACCTAGCCTGTCACAACCCAAATGCACTTACTGTTGGCATGAATGTTGCCTAAGGATCTAGTTCCGTACCCTCTGCATGGGGACTGCAACCCAGCCTTTGGAAGACTTTGTGGTTGGCTGACATATATGCTGTCTGTCTGAGCCAACAAGCCCCGATGTCAGGGGCTGGTGGGAAGATGTCTGCAGAAGTTTCCCTGTGTCCCCTGCTCCAGGGTGAGTATATATTCACCAAGGCGCTTCATAAAGGCCTTTTGATGAGGAGGACTATGATGCTGAGGCCTGGGCTGGAGAAAGAGGAGGTGGCTGGTCCCAGCAAGGCCCTGTAAACCACTGTCATCACATGCAGCCTGTCATGGATTGAGCTGTTCTCTCGAAAATATGTGTCAACCTGGCTAAGTTGTGAGTCCCATTAGTGTAGAGTTGGCTTCCATTTTGTGATCTGATATAATTATCTTCTGCTTTGTGGTTGTTCTATAAATCCTAGCTCTATATGTTAACGGTGAGGATTGTTGGTGTTAAGTGCTGTTGAGCCAATTCCAACTCATAGTGACCCTGTACAGGGTTTCTGAGGAGCAGCTGGTGGGTTTGAACTGCTGATCTTGTGGTTCACAATCCAGTGCTGATCCTACAGTGCCACACCAGGAATCCGGGGTAGGATTAGGGTGGGTTATACTTAAATCACAGCCTTACAAGAGGATGTGACTCAAGTCCCACCCTTACCCCAGTCACACTTTTGCTTGAGTCACACTATTTATCTTACAAGCAATGGAAGAGAGAAGCCAGCAGAGCGCAGACCTGACTACCACCTTTGAACCTAGGTCCCTGCGCTGAGAACCTCCTAAACCCAGAGAGGAATGTTGCTGGGACACATGGAGATCTCCAAGGAATATGGGGCCCACAGACACTGAGGAAAGGCAGCAGCAGGAGGGAGCCTTCCCTTTTATTTGGACTTCTAGCCTCTTAGACTGTAAGGGAATAGATTTCTGCTTGTTATAGCAGCACTAGATAACTAAGACACAGCCCATTTGGTGAATCCCACTAAAAACAAGCCAACGAGAAACTTGGACTGGTCAGGTAAAATATGGGGTATCACCCTGCTTGAAGTATTATATCATATCCATTACAAAGACAACCAGGCATGAGGTGCAAACTCTTAGGACAGAGTCCTACATGAAGAAGTGGAATGTAACATGTGTTACTGTCATATTATGAGAACTGTAGGAATTTAGGTTTGTGGGATGGATGAAGGCTAGGAGGTCCATGGAAGAGTGAAGAGTTTCATTTGTTAAGGTAACAGACTTGCAGGGGATTTTATTTTATTTTCTCTTTGTGCTGATTTAGATCAAGGGTTCTCAACTTGGCCACTACTGACAGTTGAGAATGGATAATTCTTGGTGATGAGGGCAATGGTGGTCCATTCTGGGAGGAGACCTCGCTTCAATTCCCAACAGCAGGTCTCGTGCAGCTCCCTCCATCTGTCACGGGAGACTTGTGCTGTGTGATGCTTCTGCATAGCTTCCCAAATAAGATGGATTACAAAGCAGGCCCTGGCGGTGTACTTCCAAAAATGAGCCAATGAAATCCCTATGGGTCGCAGTGGATTGCTCCGAAACAGAGCTTGGGAATGGCTTAATACTAGGCAGCATTTTGTTCTGTTGTGCATGGGCTCACCGTATCCCAACAGCAGTTAACAAGTCTTTAGTGTGGGGCTGTGCATTATAGAATGTTTAGTAGCATCCCTGGCCTCTATCCACTAGATGCCAGTAGTGCCCAGTTATGGCATCCAGAAATGTCTCTAGACATAAAACAAATTTCCCCTAGGGGCAGCTGATTCCTCAGTTAACTAATGATTTAGAAGAAATTACAATCTTTAAAAGGTAAGTTACAAATGAGTAGATTAAACAAAGTAAGTGACAATAATGATAATGTTGTTGTATGCTGTCATTGTTGAGTTGGTTCCGACTAATAGCAACCCTAAATAGGGTTTCTGGGAGTCCTGGTGTGGTGCTGTGAGTTAATGCGCTGGATTGCAAAGTTGGTTTGAACTGCAAAGTCGGCAGTTCAAGCTCACCAACCACTCCTCGGAAACCCTATACAGTGTTGCTATAGGTTGGAACCGACTTGATGGTACTTAACAACAACACAATAGGGTTTCTGAGAGCAGCTGGTGGTTGTGCTGACCTGTGGTTTAACACTTATCCTATAGTGCCATATCAGGACTCATAGTAATATCGTTGCTAATGCTGCCGTACTAACTCATAGAGACCCTGTATAGGGTTTCCAAGGAGTGGCTGGTGGGTCTGAACCACTAACCTTGTGGTTAGCTGTCCAGTGCTTCTCAAACAGCACTACATCAGGCAATGTTAACAATCACAACGTACACCAGACTGCATCAGATTTTAAAGTTTTCTCTTTGTAGGAGAAGATGGCTGGGAGAACTCCAACATTGCCTCCCACCTCTTATTTGGGTTGCTCTCAATACATGATATAGAACACAGCTCAGAATCTCTTGAGGTTCTGAGTTAAAAGGTCACATGAAAATAGTGGAGATGATAAAGAAACTACCAGAGTCAACCACCACTCGTCTATCAATCTGTCATACTATGGTGGCTGTGTGTGGCTGTGATGCTGGACACTATGCCACCAAGATTTCAAAGACCAGCAGGGTCCTTCATGGTGGACAGGTTTCAACAGAGCTTCCAAACTGAGACAGAGGAGGAAGAAAGGCCTGGAAACTATTTCAGAAAATAGTCAATGTATCATAACAGAACATTGTCCACACAGCGCTAGAAGGTGAGCGCCTCAGGCTGGAAGGCAGTAATGGACTCAGAATGCCAGCGGTCATGAGGGTGGTGAGGGCCAGTCAGTGGTTCCTTCTGCTCCAGGTGGGGCCACCAGGAGTCAGAGTCAACTCAACAGAAGCCACCAACACCATGCAGAGTAAAGAATCCAGCCTAAGCGCCTTGTGGCTTTGAGCCGGGCCACACCTTAACGCCTCAGTGTCCTCACCTACAAAATGGGCAGCAGTGGCCAGCTGGGTGGTCCATAAGTTCTTGTCCAGAAGAGGCTCTAAGTTATAGAAAAATTCTTAGTTCAGTTCTGGGTTAAGCTATTCATTTGGTGGAGAAGGGAATACTGAAGTTGGTTCAGGGTCCAGTGAAGAGATATTATTTGAATTAGGTTTGGGGCTTAGTTAATAAACGCAATTTGTCCCTGCTTTTTAGTCACAGTTCCATTTTGCTGACATCTCTGGATTACAGTGGACAGATGTCTGCCTATAATGGGCCGAATGAGTTGTGGCTCTCAGGTTCCCACCCCACAGGGCTGGAGACAGGGAGTCAAGTGGGTGCACAGCTTCAGCCTTTGTTCCATGTGGAGGACGATGTGCTCGGTGACCTCCCCAAGAAGAGAACGCTCCCCAGGAACCTCTTACTGGCATGTGTTTTTTCTTTCTTCCTTTTTGTAAATTGAAGAATTGACCACTTGTTAAAATGCAGACTCCAGAAAGGAGCAATTGTTAGTAATTGTTCATTCCTTCAGATGAATGCATTTAGCAGCTGCTACGTGGCAAGAGATCTTCTGAAAGGGGCTGCTGAGAGTATGGGGCACTGAGCATGAGGTGGAAGGAGGCAAGGCGCTGGCTGTGGATGAGTTCAGTCCCTGTGAAGGCCACTGGAGGGAGCCAGAGGGAGCGCTCATGATTTGCCCAGGGTGACTCAGGATGCGACTGGTCCCTTTGAGCCCTGGCAATCTGAGGAGCAGTTAAAGGAAAGGGAGCCAACCAAGCCAACCAAACCCACTGCCAAGGGATCGATTGTGACACACAGAGACCCGACAGGACAGAGGAGAACTGCTCCTCAGGGTTTATGAGATTGTAAATCTGTAAGGAAGCAGACAGCCTCATCAGTCTCCCAAGGAGTGGCTGGTAGCTTTGAACTGCTGACCTTTCAGTTAGCTGCCCAGTGCTTAACTCTCTGTGTCACCAAAATCCATAAACTGAGCATCTTGCCCACATTTAGAAATCTGGCTCCAGATATGGTGTGTGTATGTAGATTTGCCATGATGCTGGCTCCAGAGGCGCTTCCAGACTGAGACGAACCCTAGTGTAAAGAAAGGTCTGGTGATCTACATCCCAAAATCAACCGGTAAAAACCCCATGGGTCTGGTCTGTAGTCAGTCATGGGGATGGCACAGGGATGGACAGCATTTTGTAACAGGGACCGACTGGATGGCAGCTAACCACCCCAATAACATCGCCCATCAAAGGCAGGGCTGGACCCAGATGGAAAAAACCTGCTTCCAGCTGACCTGCTACCCTGAAACCAATGTGGATGAGAAGTCCAACTTTAACCAGGCAACTGGGGCAGGATTTAAAAGTAGCCCCTCCAAAAGGGTGGATACAAGCCCTTCAATCACAGAGCAGCAATGTTCCCTCTTTGAATAAAAATGCTGGCCTGCTCAACTGACCCTTAGCTTATTTGGCACATTGCTGGTCCTTAGCTCTGCTTCTGTTCTGACCTCTGAGCTCAAGGTAGGGAGAGAACATTCTCCCATCTTCCCACTCTGGCCTTTAGTGCGACATGGAATAGATCTTATGAAACGTGCACTCCATAAATCTAAACAACAAGCTAAACATTTGAAATCAATTTTGGATTCCAAACACGGCTTGACCCCACAAGGCAAATTGCAATCATTGCCTTATTACTTCACAACTCAGCCTCCTTTCTAAGCACCTCCTACGTGGGCAGAGCAATTTTGAGGGAAATGAAATCAAACTGTGTGCAGCCTATTATTTAAAAGTGAGAACCCCCAGGCACTCGAGGTGGAAGGGCAGATTAGCGAAAGTTTTCCTTTTAGATGCTGTGGCAGACTCAGCATCCAACAAAGGCTCCCTCTCCTGCCCAAGACGCTGTGCACGTGCTCTAAGATGCCTGAAACTCCATTGGGTTTTCTAGCTATTAAACTGCACCGGGTGGTGCAAACTGTTAATGTGTTCAGATGGTAAATGAATGGTTGGAGATTCGAATGTACTCACAGGCACCTCGGAAGAAAGTCCTGACAATCTGCTTCAAAATATC